ATGGTAGAGAATTACAACTTTTAAGCGTTAGAGTTACCCAAGTAAATGCCATTTCCAATTGAAACTAAACTATTTAAAAATAGGTAAAAAGGGATGTTTTTGCAAGTTACTGAGGGAACAAGTGACACCTTTAAAACAATAGCAACTCGAGGGGGCAAAAAATTGCTAAAGCGACTGGAGAAAATATTAAATTAACACTTTGTGCATCAAATTCTGAGGCTTTTGGATTTTAACCTGAACGTGACGCCATGCTGAACGCAGATGGACAGCATATAAATTGCCTGCTAGGACCAACGATACTAACGTTAACTTACGTGTTGCACCTCATTAAAGTAAACTTTTGAGAAAATGCAAAAAAGGGAAAAGAATAAGTGCTTTCATTAATTGCGATTTTAATGCATAATACCCGAACTGAAGATGAAACAAAACTAGTTTATTTACTTAGTGATTTACCGCATTTTGACAGGTTACTTGGACTAAGGAAACTGGCTACCGAATAAAGGTTTTATTCACTCAACCAAATAGACGTTTACATGGTGTATAAACAATCCAAATACATTGAAATTTTTTGTCAAAACATTTTCTTCTTAAATGTTAGAACCCGGACAAAGACATAGTCTCCTTGAAATTAACTTTTATATTTTTTAGACCATCCCGGACATGGATTCTTTTTTTTCAGTGACAAATGAGTCGAAAAGAATACGAAAATGCTGCCTTTGCTAGACGCTTGGTCTCGAGAGCAGAGGATACCGAATAGGAGAGAATAAGGTTAAAAGAACGTATAAGTGACGTCGAAAAGTCAGTGTCCGCATTCTTTCAAGGTTACTACATTCTCTCTATCAGATTATTATATATTTCCCCTGCCATGAACTATCCAGCTGGAATGCAAGCGTAAATCGCGTCTTCAAGCAGGCCGGTAATGATCAGTGTATGGAACTAGATCTACATTTTCTTCTGTTTATGTAGGAGTCACGATGTAGGCGGAAGAAATTTAAAAATAGTCGTCTTGTATTGTTTTAAATATCTAATTCAACAACGCTTGCATGCAACGATAACGATTTCTACATAAATAAACAAAATTACCTTAGTATTCA